AAAAACTTTCTAATAATACATTTTATTATACAAATATTAATTTTATTTTAATTTAATAAATTATATAAATTAATCAAAATATATAAAATATATAAACAAGTTTTAATAAATAATATTTTATTTTACACTATATCAGGAGAGCTGTTAATCATTCCAACCACCAAATGATTCAGCAACAAATTTCTTAACGTATACAAACAGATTAATATGTCCCTTTTGGTATAAGAACCCTACGTTTGGGGAAGCTGATGTAGATGACATTCAAACGGAATGACAAAGCATGTGAGAAGCTTATATGCAGCCATTCTCCATGTGAAATCTTGCAATTGCAAAGCTATAAACCCCCAATTTTCTAAATTTTACAAATTCTCTACCTTAATACCTGTAATTATCAACCGCAGAAGCCGAATACAGGAACTTGCTAAGCTGTTGCAGTCGTCGTCCGCCACAGATAAACCAAGTGCCTACTATAAATTAATTCATGGACAGATTATAGTATCTGGGTTTCAAGCTGATTTGTTTCTTGCAAACATATTGATAAATAGTTATTCAAGATGTGATCATTTAGCCTATGCACGAACATTGTTTGATGAAATGCCTGAGAGAAATATAAGCAGTTGGTCTTCAATGATTTCTGCTTATACACAACATGGATACAATGAAGAAGCTTGGATGGTGTTTCTTATGTTTCAAAGAAATTGTGAGGAAACCCCAAATGAGTATGTGTTAGCTAGTGTTATTCGCACATCCACGCAGTTAGGGAGCGCGGTTAGGGGCTCTCAGTTGCATAGTTTGGTTGTTAAAACAGGTATTGATCAAGATGTTTATGTGGGTACGTCAATTGTTGATTTTTATTCGAAAATTGGCAAGGTAGAAGATGCAAGATTGGTTTTTGATGCTTTACCAATTAAGAACGCTGTAACGTGGACTACGATAATAACTGGTTATGCAAGAGTGGGAAAGAGTGAAGTTTCTTTACAACTGTTAAGCCAAATGAAACAAAGTGATGTCGTTCCAGACAAGTATGTTCTCTCTAGTGTTTTAAGCGCATGTTCAGTTGTCGGGTTCTTTGAAGGGGGAAAGCAAATTCATGGTTTTGTCTTAAGAAGAGAAGCAGCCATGGATATATCAGTGAGCAATGCCCTTGTAGATTTATATATCAAATGTGGTAAAGTGAGAACGGGAAGGATGATTTTTAATCGCATGCCGGTCAAGAATGTTATATCATGGACCACGATGATTTCTGGCTACATGCAGAACTCTTTTGATAGGGAGGCTATGAATTTGTTCATCGACATGACGAGAAATGGTTGGAAGCCGGATGGTTTTGCTTGTACTAGCATTCTAACTTCATGTGCTTCACTCGAGGCTCTAGAGCAAGGTATACAAACACATGCTTATACCGTTAAGACCAATCTAGATGAAGACGAATTTGTGAACAACGGTTTAATTGACATGTACTCAAAATGTAATTGCCTTGCTGATGCAAGAAGAGCATTTAATGGTATCCCCAATCGTAATGTGATTGGTTACAATGCTATGATTGAAAGTTACTCGAGGCATGGAAATTTATATGAAGCATTGGATCTTTTCCGTGAAATGAGGCTCAGATACGTTGAACCGAGCCTGTTGACTTTTGTTAGTCTTCTTGGCGTTTCAGCTTCATTACTCACCTTAGAACTGAGCAAACAAATTCACGGCTTTATCATCAAATTTGGTGTCTCGTTGGACATATTTGCTGGCAGTGCTCTGATTGATGTTTACTCGAAGTGTTCCTTCACATTTGATGCAAGGCGCGTGTTTGATGAAATGAGTGAAAAAGATATCGTGGTATGGAATTCTATGCTTTTCGGGTATACCCAGACATCAGAAAATGAAAGCTCTCTTAGGCTTTATCAAGAACTGCAGTTGTCATGCCTACAACCGAACGAGTTCACATTTGTGGCAATGATTACAGCCGCTAGTAACCTTGCTAGCCTTCCCATCGGACACCAGTTCCATACGCAGCTCTCAAAGACAGGTTTAAATCTTGATCCTTTCGTCACAAATGCATTGTTAGACATGTACGCCAAGTGTGGAAGCAAACAAGAAGCTCAAAATCTTTTCGATTCCACAGTTTGCAGAGACATTGTGTGCTGGAACTCAATGATATTAACATATGCACAACATGGAGACGCTAAAGAATCTTTAAAAGTATTTGAAAGAATGTTAAACGAAGGAACCCAACCCAACTATGTCACATTTGTAGCTGTGCTCTCAGCTTGTGACCATATGGGGCTCGTAAAAGATGGGTTTGATCACTTTGAAACGATGCGTAGTTTTGGTATTGAACCGGGTATAGAACATTACGCATGTATGGTCTCACTCTTGGCCAGAGCCGGGAAGTTGTATGAAGCTAAAGAGTTCATCGAGAGATTACCAATACCTCCGGCAGCTGTAATCTGGAGGAGTTTGCTAAGTGCATGTCGAGTTGCTGGAAATCTTGAAATGGGTAAATACGCTGCAGAAATGGCGATATTGATCGATCCAAAAGACAGTGGATCGTATATCTTGCTTTCTAATATTTTTGCAGCTAAGGGTATGTGGGGTGAGGTCAAGAAGGTGAGAAAGAGGATGGAGTGCAATGGGGCGGTGAAAGAAGCCGGTCGTAGTTGGATCGAAATGAATAACGAGGTTCATGTTTTTATTGCAAGAGATGGATCTCATCGGCAGACGGATTTGATCTATTCGGTGATCGATAATTTGATCGATCATGTAAGAACATTCGTTTATGCACAGGACCCTTGTATGATTTTGTTAAATGATTGAGCAATAAAAGATGCAAGAAAAATCTTTACTTCCGGTTTCAGTTGGAGGGTCTTTGTTTGTTGAAGTTTTCATATGTTTGCTATACCAAACACTTACCCGATAAGCTCTTACCAGTAAAATTTAACACTGTTATTTACTTACTGGATAAGATTTTAGTCCACCAAAACGATATCGTATGCAACAATTTACCCGGTAAGCGCTTACCGTGATAAAAGTCGTCGCCCTCACTTACCGGGTAAGACTCTTGGTCCTTGTCTCGCTCTTACACCAGTAAGATTCTTGATCCTTACCATATTCATCCGGTAAGGTAAAATGACTTGGTATTCACTTACCTGAGTAAGCATTTAGTAAACGCCCCTTAAAGATTTTTAGATAACAGATTTTTATCTAAAAAAACCACATACAAAAAGGCACTTGGCTTTGCCTTTTATGATGAGTAGCCATCCAATGTAGAAAAATGGATCCTTTTTCACACAAAGCTATATAAGTATGTAAACCACACCATTTGCTCATAACTCCACACTTATTCTTGTGGATGCCAAAACAACCCCACTTTATTTGCTTCATAAATATGCCTTCAATTCACACTTTCTTTCATCAAAACCTACCATAAAACATACATATACAGTTCATCCGTCCGTCAACGAGCTACAAAATCATGTCTTTTGTTCCCATGACAATCGAAGCATGCATGTGGTGGTGCAGTCTTAGCCATGCCGATGGAGACCGTGATGGTGGTAATTGCCATGCACCAGCAGCTAGCTTACGAGAAGATTACAAGTCTGTTTCGTCAACATCAGAAGGAGATAGTGACGATGATGATGCGGATTATGACTATGCCCCAGCAGCATGATCAATTATAATTGATCATGAACCGTTAACATTAACTCCAATCGTGCGTTGAGAAAATACATCACCATCGGTGAAGAAGAGAAAACCTATTGATGAGGGATTTTGTGGACTTTTGTAGTACTTATTCGATTCGATAAAGTTAGTTATGCCACTGCTAATTATTTTATTTAGTAACTACATGTGTATTTAGACAAAAGTTAATCACCGACAACCCTAACTGGCCCTACATAAAACCTGCTTCCAAAGACACCAATTTAAGGGGGCATTTTTTGACTCGATCAGTGGCTGAGGCTAGCAGGGCCCGGCTATGATCGAATCCAGGACTTGTCTTGTATTTGGACAAAGTTGTCCCACTCTTTTACCAACTGAGCTACATGCTAGAGGCGAGAGATACATGTGAACTAATTAGTACATATACATAATCCAACTACTATACAAGCAAATTAATGCAGAAAAGTGATGGGACAGTTTTTGTGTGGTTAATATAAGATGAAACACAAAAGTGATGCAAACTTTTCCTAGTCACAACCTGCACTCAAAACACACACTTTGCAACAAGTGCATTTGGCTGACCTGAACCTAAAAGTCCTACGTGGCTGGATGACCTGTCAACCATATTATGTCCTACACATCCTTTGCTAATAACTCCACACTTCCACTTGTGCATGGACCACTTGTGCAACATCAACACCTTTTTTTTTCTTTTTTGGTAAATAAGGTTGTATGTACTTCGACAAATTCCATGAGGCACCAGAAATAACAAGCAGGAAAATCCCTAATGGTCCTTGCCTTTACTGGCCAATTGAGCGGACCCTCTTACCTTTTACATTCATTGCTTTTTTGTTTATAACAGAAAACAAAATTGTAATAAGGTTGCTATATATAATCATTTCAAATAACCCAATGGACCTTTCTTCTTGTTCCACAAAGTCCATAATTCTTTACAAAATGACTTTAGTATCTAAGAACATCAAAGGATGGAGGTACAAATGTCATGTTGATGGAGATGATGACTTTTCAGCATATATATATATATATATATATATAGAGAGAGAGAGAGAGAGAGAGAGATAAGTTCCTTTAGCAACCCAAAATTGATAGGAACCGGTGAACCACCCACAACGTGCCTTGTGTCTCTCTTTAGGATGAATATTCATCATGAATAACACATGAATTCATGATGAATATGGAAGTCTAAAAGTGTGATTCATGATGAATATGCCATGTGCCACGCTGTGGATAGTTTCCAGGTTCTTAATCAATTTTAGGTTCCCTTCTATATATATGGATGAGTTATATAACTGAAAGCAAAGGAAATCTCACTTATAAGATATCTAGGATGACTAAAAAATTCCTTGAAGCAAATACTTAACTCTTCCATGCTTTAAGAGCTGCAGACGCCAATTTTTGTTAAATCCACCAAAACAGCCATTTATGGCCAAAAGATTGAAAGTCGAGGTGTATAAAAAATATTGACACTCTTCGGCTGGTTTGGGCCCACCATCCAACAAAAAGTAGACTCCACCAACTGACAGCCTTGATTGGCCAAATTAAAGGTTATTTCTTTATAAACCTCGAAAAAATGGCTATTTCTTCAATCTTTTTGTCGTAAATGGCTATTCTAGTAGATTTCCTCCAATTTTTGCCTTAGTAGGTCAAGTTTGCCAACCGAAAGAACCTTTGTAAATAGGTCTGCGAGTTGTTCAACAGTCTTGAAGTAGACTAAACTACATCTCATTTTGCTACACTTACCTCAAAAAATAGAGCTCGAGGTTGAAATGCTTAGTCGTCCCATGAAAAACTAGGTTGTTTGAGATTGCAATGGATGCTTAGTTGTCCACAAAAACCTGAGTTCCTTCTTTCTCCTTCATATGCAAGTCACACATAATAAATAAAATCCTGCTTATAATGTGCTCCTTTCCATCATCAGACATCATCAACTGCTTAATCTTTTAACCACTTTGATCTTTTCCCAATTTCTTCAACATTCATATTACACAGCAACTTCAGAGTTGAATTTCAAGAAAATATTACAACACGTTGTTGCGAAATCATGGATGAAAAGATTGTAGTAAAGACTACCTTGTGACGCTCGTGTTCTTTAAGACCTGGCAACATCTATGTGTATGAGCTGCAATTTATGTGATGATTTCCAAGTTGATTTCGGAAATGACAATATGTCGTTATTTGTTGAGTTTTCAATACTGGATATTAGTGTTAAGTGTTAACTATAGAGACTATATGTCTATATATAGTGTGCACAAAGCTCACTCTTGTCATCAGTCGGTCACGCAGTCTTGAAACATCGATCATGCCAAAACAAGTCGACAGATGTGGCAATTAATGAAATTGGGCTCTTTTCAGTTTGCCTATGTCCAAGAGTTTCAGTCTGCCTCATTATCATGATGTCTATAATGTTGAAAAGCATATCAAATTCATGAAATAGTTGGTTGGTTATTTCAAACATAACCAATATCCCGTTCTGCAGATAAATACATGAGCAAGAACATGAGGCCAGAGAGGGAGATGCCAATAAAGGTACCCTCAAATATCTTACCACAAAAACTTCATTATCCATTTACTTTCTGTGGGTATTATGGTGAATAAGTCAAATAGACATGACAAGCAAATTCGATAAATTGTTGAAATTTGAAGGGCAAACTTTTCGTAGATGGCAGAAGAAGATGCATTTTCTCCTGACTACCCTGAAAGTGGTGTACGTTCTGAGTACCCCTGTGCCTGAATACGTTGAAGATGAAACTCTGGAAGTGTCAAGGAGGAGATCGAAATGGGAAAACGATGATTACATTTGTCGTGGCCACATCTTAAAAGGTATGTCTGACTCTTCATTTGATGTTTATCAGAATGTTGAATCTGCAAAGGAACTATGGGATTCTCTGGAATCCAAGTATATGGCAGAAGATGCTTCTAGTAAGAAGTTTCTGGTCGGTAATTTCATGAATTACAAGATGGTCGATACCAGGTCTGTCAAGGAACAATATCATGAATTGTTAAGGATTCTGGGACAATTTGTCCAACATAATCTGAAGATGGATGAAGCCATTCGGTTGCTATGATTATTGACAAATTGCCTCCTTCCTGGAAAGAGTTTAAACATACTCTAAAACATAAGAAGGAAGAATTGACTCTGGTTCAACTTGGAAGTCACTTTAGGATTGAAGAGTCTTTGAGGACTCAAGAACTTGACAATATCCTAAAGGTAAGAATCAAGTTGGTTCTTCTTCTGTGAACATGGTGGAAGGGGATGGGTCCAAGTATTCCAACAAGTTTAAAAACAACAAACGGAAACACAAAGGTGGAGATGACAAGTTTTCCAACAAAAAGCCTAAATTGATATGTTGGAAGTGTGGTAAACCAGGTCATTTCAAGAAGGATTGTCATGTTTGTAAAGTGAACAAAGATGGGGCTTGTCCAAGTGGGTCTAAGGATCCAGGAAAGCAACAAGGTCAGAATTGTGATTTAGTGCACAATCTAAATTATGTTCAGAATTATATTTCTGTAATTTCTTAGGCATATTATGTGCATGATGATGATGTTGCTTGGTGGGTTGATTATGGTGCAACAAGTCATGTTTGCAAGGATCTTCGTTGGTTTAAAGACTGTCAACCAATTGAAGATGGATCTGTCATGAAGATGGGAAACGTTGCAACAGAATCAATCAAGGGATTAGGACGTGTTTTACTTAAGTTCACTTCTGGAAAATGTTTGTGTTTAGACAATGTATTGTATGTACCGGGAATTCGAAAGAACCTCTTGTCTGAAATTGTGTTGAATAAGTGTGGCTACAAACAAATGTTGGAAAGTGACAAGTATATCTTGTCAAGACATGGTACTTTTGTTGGATTTGGCTATGTATGTAATGGTATGATTAGGTTGAATCTAGATTATCCTTCTCATGTTAACTCTATTTGCATGATGACATCTAGTACTAGCAATAACTTAAGTAAATCTGTTTTATGGCATGCTAGACTAGGACATGTTCATTATAAAAAGTTAAAGGATATGTCTAAAATGAGTTTAATACCTTCTTTTGACATGAATAATGAAAAGTGTAAAACTTGCTTGTTAACCAAGATTACTAGACAACCTTTTAAGGATGTTAATAGAGAAAGCAAAGTATTAGAACT